TCGAATGCATTATTGTTAACTAAAGCTTATATTTTATTCCTACTTCCTTAGTTTTTTCCTAATATTCTTTCTATATTCAGGAGCCCATCCAGGATACCACATGACATTCAGTTGTCATGTTTCCTTGGGTTCCTCTTGGCTGCAACAGTTTTTCAGACTTCTTTTGTTTTTATTATCTTGACAGTTTTGAGGATTGCTGGTATATATATGTATATATATACACATACATATATACATATACGTAATTTTGAGACAGGGTCTCACTTTCTCACCCAGGCTAGAGTGCAGTGGAGTAATCTTGGCTCACTGCAACCTCCGCCTCCAGGGCTCAGGTGATCCACCTCAGCCTCCCGAGTAGCTACACCACCACACCCAGTTAATTTTTGTGTTTTTTGTAGATATAGGGTTTCACCATGTTGCCCAGGCTGGTCTCAAACTCCTGAGCTCAAGCTATCTGCCCGCCTCGGCCTCCCAAAGTGCTGGGATTACAGGCGTGAGCCATCGCACCTGGCCTTTTTACTTTCTTTTTCTTTCCCCCTCAGCAGCTACACAGAAATACTCTCTTAATGGAGTCATTTGATGCAAAAAAGTTTTAAGTTTTGATGAAGTCCAATTTATCTATTTGTTCCTTTTGTTGCTTGTGCTTGTGGTTTCATACTTAAGAAACCATTGCCTGACCCAAGGTCATGAAGATTTACACCTATGTTTCCTTCTAAGAGTTTTAAATTTACATCTAAGCCTTTGACCCATTTCGATTTAATTTTCACATATGGTGTGAGGTAGAATATACATTTTTGACCAGGCGAGGTGGCTCATGCTTATAATCCCAGCACTTTGGGAGGCCGAGGTGTATGGATCACTTGAGTCCAGGAGTTTGAGACCAACCTGGCCAACATGGTGAAATCCCGTCTCTACTAAAAATACAAAAAAATTAACCAGGAGTGGTGGCAGGCACCTGTAATCCCAGCTACTCGGGAGGCTGAGGCAGGAGAATTGCTTGAACTTGGGAGGCGGAGGTTGCAGTGAGCTGAGATCACACTATTGCAATCCAGCCTGAGCAACAATCCAGCCTGAGCAACAAGGCCAGGCATGGTGGCTCACACGTGCAAGGCCAGCACTTTGGGAGGCCAAAGCAAGAGGATCACTTGAGGCCAACAGTTTGAGGCCAGTCTGGGCAACACAGTGAGACTCTGTCTCCACAAAAAAAAAAAAAAAAAAAAAAAAAAAATTAGCCAAGCGTGGTGGCGTGTGTCTGTAGTTCCAGCTACTCAGGAGGCTCAGGCAGGAGAATCGCTTGACCCTAGGAGTTCAGAGTTACAGTGAGGTATAATCTTGCCACCATCCAGCCTGGTTGACAGAGTGAGACCCCATCTCTTAAAAAGAGAAAACTTGAATATACCAATAGCTATAGGAGAGATTGAAAAGGAAATCCATTTCAAATAGGCACTATGTAGATAGATAGTTTAATGAACCTGTTTTCTCAAGTTCTGAGAGTTAGATAATTTTATTCTATAATTTAAGCTTTTGATAAAAATAAAATATTCTCATTAGAAAATCTCCCATCAATACTGAAGCACATGGCCAGTCACAGCCTATAGTCCCAGCACTCTGGGAGGCTGAAGCAGGAGGATTGCTTAAGGCCAGGAGTTTGAGATCAGCCTGGGCAACACAGCAAGATCCCATCTCTATAATTTTTTTTTTTTTTTTTGAGACAGGGTCTTGTTCTGTCGCCCAGGCTGGAGTGCAGTGGCATGATCTTGGCTCACTGCAACCTCTGCCTCCCTAGTTCAAGTGATTCGCATGCCTCAGCCTCCCAAGTAGCTGGGATTACAGACGTGTGCCACCATGCCCAGGTCATTTTTTGTATTTTTAGTAGAGATGGGGTTTCATATATTGGCCAGGGTACGCTCTAACTCTTGACCTTAGGTGATCCACCCATCTTGGCCTCCCAAAGTGCTGAGATTACAGGCGTGAGCCACAGCTCCTGGCCTCTGTGAGAATCTTAAGATGATTGTCATAATGGATTTTATCACTCTCTTTTTAATTTAATTTTATTTTATTTTGAGACAGGGCTTCAATCTGTTGCTCAGGCTGGAGTGCAGTAGCGGGATCTCAGCTTACTGCAAACTCCGTCTCCCAGGCTCAGGTGATCCTCCCACTTCGACCTCCAGCATAGCTGGGACTATAGGCGAGTGCCACCATGCCCGGCTATTGTTTTTAGAGATGGGGTTTTGCCATGTTGCCCAGGCTGGTCTTGAACTCCTGACTTCAAGTGATCTGCCTGTCTTGGCCTCCCAAAGTGCTGGGATTACAGGCATGAGTTATTGGCTGGATTTATCACTCTTTACACATTTTGCTAACATTATATACAAAGAATGGTATCTCCTTTTAATTTGCATTTTTCTGATCATCTTTTTATATATTTAGCAAGCATTTCTGTTTTCCTTCTCTGCATTTCTAATGCTCTGTAAACCATTCCAGGGCATAGAATAAGATGGACATTTTCCAATTCATTTTACAAAATCACAGAAATCTGATAGCTCACAAAATCCTGATCAAAAGAGACTCCTTCCCTGCAGAATAACTACAGACTGGCTTATGAATGTACATGTGAAAACACTCAGGAAAACAGAGGCCTTTTGCGCCTGAACTTGTGGGGGCAGAATGCTATTGTGAAGAGCGTCGTAACTTATACATGGGCCACAGGCCTGCACAGTAATTCGCCAAAGAAGACTTCCTATGGCCCACACCCCTGGGGAAAACATTGGCCTTGATGTGTGTAATGAAAACTGCAGTTGAGAGCATCTTTTCCTGATCCAGTTGATAAAGTTAATACCCTGTTCTGGCCAAAGTGTGAGTAAGTAGAAACTTGAATCAATGCTGGTGTGTCGGGAAGACGCAAACATGCGTGAAGGATCTGGCAACAGCTACACAGAGCCTAGGGATCTCCTTGACCCAAATATTCTATTTCTAAACATTCGTATTATGGAAGTGCACATCAGGGCATTATTTATAAATAGCAATAAACAAAACAGGCTGGGCATGGTGGCTCACACCTGTAATTCCAGCACTTTGGGAGGCCAAGGTGGGTGGATCAATTGAGGTCAGGAGTTGGAGACCAGCCTCGCCAAGAAGGCGAAACCCCGTCTCTACTAAAAATACGAAAGTTAGCTGGGCATGGTGGCAGGCGCCTGTAATCCCAGCTACTTGGGAGGCTGAGGCAGGAGAATTGTATGAACCTGGGAGGCAGCGGTTGCAGTGAGCTGAGATAGTGCCACTGCACTCCAGCCAGGGTGATAGAGTGAGACTCTGTCTCAAAAAAAAAAAAAAAAAATTAATAAAAATATAAACAAAACAGATGAACCCCCTGCCCTTCAGAGCTTATAAAAACTGTGTAGTCATTTTCCAAAAAAGTAGTAATTTTTAAATTGATAAAGCCATTTACAAAAGAGTATGAGGCCATTTTAATTAAGTAATTTTTTTTTTTTTTGAGACAGAGTCTCCCTCTGTTGCCCAGGCTGCAGTGCAGTGTCACAATCTTGGCTCACTGCAAATTCTGCCTCCTGGGTTCCAGCGATTCTCTCACCTCAGCCTCCTGAGTAGCTGGGACTACAGGCGTGCACCACCACACCCGGCTAATTTTTGTATTTTTAGTAGAGACAGGGTTTCACCATGTAGCCACTGCACCCAGTAAGCCTTTTTTTTTTTTTTTTAATACAAGCATCTATCTATCATCTATGTACTTAAGTATAAATTAATGCCAAAATGTATGTTAAATATTATCTGAATGGTTGGAATTAAGGCTGTTTGTTTTGTTTACCTGTATTTTCTTTTTATTCTTTATTCCTTCTTTATTATTATTATTTTTCTGAGACTGAGTTTTGCTCTGTCTGCACTGGAATGCAGTGTCATGATCTTGGTTCACTGCAACCTCAGCTTCCAGGTTTCAAGCGATTCTCCTGCCTCAGCCTCCCGAGTAGCTGGGATTACAGGCTACATGGCGCATGCCACCATGCCCAGGTAATTTTTGTATTTTTAGTAGATACGGGGTTTCATCATGTTGGCCAGTCTGGTCTCTATCTCCTGACCTCGTGATCTGCCTGCCTTGGCCTCCCAAAGTGCTGGGATTACAGGTGTGAGCCACTGCGCCGGCCTTGTTTACCTATATTTTCTACAATGTACTTCTATAATAAAACAAGGTGACAAGACATGGGGGGGAATTGGTAACAAGCTTCATGTCTAACAATAGAGGATTGGCTGATGAAGTGTATGTCGCATTTATTTACAATTAATGACACCAATGAATAGTTTTCTTCAGTACCACGTGCTAGGTATTAGATATTCTTTGGCTGTTCTAGGCTGTACATGTGACTATGCTTTTTGTTTAAAAAAAAAAGAAAAGAAAAAAGGAAAGGGGAAAAAAAGGAGAGGAGAGAAAAGGAAAAGAAAAGAAAATTTAAAGAAAAGAAAAGAAAATTTAAAAAAAAGAAAAGAAGGCCGGGCGCGGTGGCTCAAGCCTGTAATCCCAGCACTTTGGGAGGCCGAGACGGGCGGATCACGAGGTCAGGAGATCGAGACCATCCTGGCTAACACAGTGAAACCCCGTCTCTACTAAAAAATGCAAAAAAAAACTAGCCGGGCGGGTTGAAGGGTGCCTGTAGTCCCAGCTACTCGGGAGGCTGAGGCAGGAGAATGGCGTAAACCCGGGAGGCGGAGCTTGCAGTGAGCTGAGATCCGGGCACTGCACCCCAGCCTGGGCGACAGAGCAAGACTCCGTCTCAAAAAAAAAAAAAAAAAAAAAAAAAAAAAAAAGTAAAGAAAAACAAAAGATAGAAAGAAACAAAGGGTGGGGAGTAAGAGCAGGAGAACTCAGGGTGTCCTGGGCCTGGCTGCCGCCTCGCTCCACACGGGGCCCTTGTGGAGCCCCTGGCTCGCGCGCGCCCCTAGCGGGCGTCCGGCGTCCTGCGGGCCGTGCGGTCCTGTGTCCATGCTTTGCACAACCCCAGGCCCACAGGGCAAGCTGCGCCCGTTTTCTTTCCAGAGTCCCCTGCCCTCCAGCGAGCTGAGTTGAGCCCCAGCTGGACTCCAAGTCGAACCTCCACAGCCAGGTGTCCGCCAGATGTCTTCCAAGGCCAGCAAGGGAACTGCCTGGGCACGCGTCAGTCTGGCCTGTTTCCTGATCCAGAAAATTATTTTCAGCTGCGCGTGACCTTCCACGGGGCCAGGACTGGAAAACTAGACAGCGGTGATCTTTTTAAGACCGTGGAATCTATGAACTAGGTAAGTCCCCTCCAAACCCGTCAACAGGAATTTACTGCTTATTGGTACCAGTTTGGGAAATCATTGCTTTTTAATTAAAAATCGGGGGGCTGGGAGGAAAGGAGGGTCCCCTGGCAGCCTTGGGTGGGCTGTAGGGCTGCAGAAGCGTGACAGCAGGGGCAGTGGGGCTGCCCGTGGGGCCAGCTTGTGGTGGGCTGGGGACTGAGCTGTGCCTGGAGACACACAGATTCCTCCCTGGGCTGGGTGGCCTTATGGTCCCAGCGTTTTCCCACAACTTGTCCTGGCTGTGGGGCTGAGCTTGCCAGCCTTCCTGGGGGAACAGGGGGCCAGGGCGGGACTCCATCCCCAGGAAGCACAGGTGAGGCTTACGAAACAGGTGCAGGACTTGCAGACACAGCTCCCCTTTCTGCACACCCTGCTGAGAGGCAGAACGGAGGAAACAGGAGGTGCCCCAGTTTCTTCTCCCGGGTAAGACTTAGACCTGTCCTTGAACCTGATGGGCCAGAGAGAGTGCCGAGGAGAACCAGAGCATCCCGTGGGGTTCCCTGGGCTGGGCTCCGTCAGGAGGGTTTCCCAGGAGATCGGCCGTGACAGCTGCTGTGTTGGGCACTCCTCCAGGGCAGGGGTGGCCCCGGGAGAGCTTGGGCAGGAGGGGGCATGAGTCACGCAGAGGGTGGCCCACTAGGTTGATGGTACCCGGAGTTGCAAACACTCAGTTGTGAGCCACCCAAGTGTACACATGGCTGGAGGCACACAGCCTCCCTTGTCCTCCCCTCCTCGAATCCCGGTTCCTGATGGTTCTGCTCTCTCCTGTGCCAAGGAGGGCCGCACAGACTCGTTAGCGAACCGGGGGTCCTGGAGTCGGAGAGCTGGCTTCCAATCCTGGCTCTAGTACCTGCGCTCAGGGACACTGGGCACATGTTGTCACCTGCCTGTGCCTCAATCACCTTAACTGCAAAGTGGACATAACCTCCAGGCTGATGAAGACTAGGAGAGCAGAGGTCAGGGACAGGCCCCTTCAGAGGGGCTCAGTGCCTTTCTGTTCCTCCATTGCTTTCTCCCGGGCTGGCCTGCTGTGTGAGGCTGGCCGGCAGACATCTGTCTCTCTCAATGTAAAAAAAATTTTAGTAGGGAGAGGATCTCACTGTGTTGCCCAGGCTGATCTCAAACTCCTGGCCTCAAGCGATCCTCCCACCTTGACCTCCCAAAGTGCTGGGATTGCAGGGGTGGCATCTCTTGGCCTCAGGAAGCAGGCCCAGGCTGCACTCCTGCCCTCCTCCCCACCTCCTGCTGCAGGTTGATTTGTCGGTCCTGCCCTCTCTCCCCGCCCCCACCATCCCCCATGGGGAACATGGGCATCAGTGAAGAGGAGAGTTGCCCATTTTTCAGAAGTGGGATGACAAGCCCCTGCTGCCTTTCACCAGTGCCCGTGAATGCACCTGCTTGGGAATCCTCTTTGGAATCTCCCTGAGGTCTTGCTGCCCCTCCCCGTGGCTCCCTCATTAAACCACATTTTCCCACAATGAGAATGTGCCATGATGTGCATTGATGCAAAACAGGTCTTTATTCAATCTTGTGATGTTTCTGTAGCCAAGGCCTTACTGCAGTGCTGTTTTCCATGCCTTTTCACGTGAATTACAACACTTTAATTCCATCCCACCTGAAATTGACTGTGTTGGGTCAGGTAGAAAACCCCACTGCTGTGGGTGACACTTTTATGGTTGCGGAGGTGGCTCTTGTCCTGGGCTAAGTTGTGTACCTGCCTCAGAATGTGACTTCACATCTTAAAGTCCTAACCTGCAGTACCTCAGAGTGTGACTGGGTTTGGACCCAGGGTCTTTACAGAGGTGACTAATGTTAAATGAGGCCACTGGGTGGGCCCTAACCCAATGTGACTGTGCCCTTATAAGGAGAGAAGGTTAGGGCCAGTTGTGATGGCTCACACCTGTAATCCCAGCACTTTGGGAGACCAAGATGGGTGGATCACCTGTGGTCAAGAGTTCGAGACCAGCCTGGCCAACATGGTGAAACCCCGTCTCTACTAAAAATACAAAAATTAGCCAGGCGTGGTGGCACACGGCTGTAATTCCAGCTACTTGGGAGGCTGAGGTGGGAGAATTGCTTGAACCCGGGAGGTGGGGGCTGCAGCAAGCAGAGGTTGCACCACTGCACTCCAGCCTAGGTGACCGGGTGAGACCCTGTCTCAAAAGAAAAAAAAAGAGAGAGATTAGGATGCAGGCACAGAAGGACGACCATGTGAGGCAGGGAGGAAATGACAAGCCGAGCAGAGAGGCATCAGAAGAAACCAACCCTGCCGACCCCTTGATCTCAGCCTTCCAGCCTCCACAGCTGCAAGAAACGCACTTCTGTTGTTTAAGTCCCTAGTCTTACAGCAGCAGCTTGAGCAGACCCTGACTGCACTGCTGTATCCTCAGCCGAGCCCTGGGAGGAGGAGAGAATCCCCGAACTTGATCGTTTCCTATCATTATGATCACCGATTATTCTCTCTTTGACTCACCCACACCTTCTGTGCAGAAGGGCTGGGAACGCCGAGAGACAGGAGCATTTACCCACGTATGTTCATGCGCACCTGCAGCCACAGCTCCCAGTCCTTATGTGAAAGTGAATCACTATGGCCCCGGTTAGCAGTGAATCACTATGGCCCCGGTTAGCAGCGTTTGTGATGTGCCCGGCACGTGGCCAAGGGCTGTCTTCATTGTGAGTCCCTGAAGTGTCCATGGCCAGCCCTCTGCAGGCAATGACACTGAAGCCCAGAGGGTTGAGGAGCTTGCCTCGCCTTTCCCTCCCTCCCTCTCTCCCCTCCCTTCCCTCCCCCCTCCCCTCCCTCCCCCCTCCCTTCCCCTCCCTCCCTCCTTCCCTCCCTCCCTCCCTCCCTCCCTCCTTCCTTCCTTCCTTCCTTCTTTCCGTCTGTCTCATTCTGTCACCCAGGCTGGAGTGCAGTGGTGTGATCATGGCTTTACTGCCTCCCCAGCTCAAGCGATCCCCCCCCGCCTCCTGAGTAGCTGGGACTTCAGGCACATGCCACCACACCCAGCTAAATTTTACATTTTTTTTGTAGAGATGGGGTCTCACTATGTTGCCTAGGCTGGTCTCAAACTCCTGGGCTCAAGTGATCCTCCAGCCTCAGTCTCAGCCTCCCAAAGTGCTGGGATGACAGGTGTGAGCCACTGCACCCGGCCTGCCTCACCATTTTTAATTGGCACAGCCAGCATTTTGTTTGAACTCAGACAGCTTGGTGCCATCACTTCTACGCTACAACTTTTGAAAAAATTAGTTTTTAAAAACATTTTATTTACATTATATACTTTCACACCTATGACCATCTGAAACTTTTTTCTTTTGAGATGGGGTCTTGCTCTGTCACCCAGGCTGAAGTGCGGTGGCACAATCTCGGCTCGCTGCAGCCTCCCACCTCTGGGCTTAAGTGATCCTCCCACCTCAGCCTCCAGAGTAGCTGGGAACACAGGTGTGCGCCACCACACCTGGCTAAGGTTTTGTATTTTTGGTAGAGATGGGGTTTTGTCATGTTGCCCAGGCTGGTCTCGAACTCCTGAGCTCAAGCAATCTGCCCTCCTCAGCCTCCCAAAGTACAGGGATTACAGGTGGGAGCCATTGCACCCAGCCTGACCATCTGAAACGTTTTAAAGGTGGCACTGCTTCTTGTAAGAAGAGACCTTAGGTGTCAGGGGCAGGGCTGGGATGTAGGTGCTGTCACGGCAGGCTGCACTGGGGATGGAAAGCAGCTGCCACCTGTCATGGACATACACCTCCAGTCACCCCGTCTGCCTCCTGCCCTGCCCCCAGACAGGGAGCAAACTTCCCCAGCCTCCTGCCAGGGTGTCTGTGGGGAAGGGATTCGCCTGGGGGCATGAGCGCTGTTCCCAGGCCCAAGGATTGTGACTAGTGTGGGACAGAAAGGGATGCTCTGGAGAGCTGCCCTCTTTCTGCTGTTCCTCTGCACCCCCTTCACATTTTTGTAACCCAAATAAAGACGGGCACCCATGGCCCACCTCGCACAGGCCCAGGAAGAAAAAACAAAGTCAGATCCAAGTTCACCTCCTAAAATAGCCTTGAAAAGCAATTTAGGTCCTTCTTAAATTTGTTCTAGGGGGAACCAAAGGGCAATTTGTTCACAATCTAGAGAAAAATGTCTTGAAACCTCTTTCCTCTCCCATTCTCAATGCTCTCAGCCTACATGTGCTCTCTTCTTGCATCCCATCCTCATCCCTGTCCCCGCAAAATACGGGTCCTCTGGCAGGTGGCCTGCTCTTTGGAGCTCAGACACCATCCTTGGAACAGGGCATATGACCAATGCTAAGGCATCTTTTCCATGCACATAAAATTATCGAAAGATGAAGAGGTTGCTCAAAGTCACACAGCTAAAAAGGGGTCCAGTCAAGACCCAGAACCTGCTGGGCATCGTGGCTCATATCTGTAATCCCAGCACTTTGGGAGGTCGAGGTGGGTGGATTACTTGAGGTCAGGAGTTCAAGACCAGCCTGACCAACATGGTGAAACCCCATATCCACTAAAAATGTAAAAATTAGCCAGGTATGGTATCGGGTGCCTGTAATCCCAGCTACTCGGGAGGCTGAGGCAGGAGAATTGCTTGAATCCGGGAGGTGGAGCTTGCAGTGAGCAGAGATCGTGCCACTGCACTCCAGCCTGGGAGACAGAGCGAGACTCCGTCTCAAAAAAAAAAAAAAGGGCTCAGAACCTACTAAATCTGATCTAATGCCAAAGAGTGACAGCCCAGTAATGGGGATGTGGCACCTAGATCCAGACCATAGCCCTGTTGCTACCGTTTCTGCTAGTTGTATATGTGCTCTTCCCCCACTTGGATATGGCCTGGGGAATGTGTTCACACACACTCCAAAACTGAGATCAGTTCACTCTCCTTTTTCATAATCTGCCTTTTCCAATTAACTCTACACTATGAAAAAAATTCCCATGTACTTAATTTAAGAACTTGTTTTTCCTGGCCAGGCATGGTGGATGGCTCACGCCTGTAATCCCAGCACTTTGGGAGGCCAAGGTGGGTGAATCACTTGAGGTCAGGAGTTCCAGACCAGCCTGGCCAGCACGGGGAATCCCTGTCTCTACTAAAAATACAAAAATACAGCAAGGCGTGGTAGTGCACACCTGTAATCCCAGCTACTTGGGAGACTGAGACAGGAGAATTGTTTGAACCCGGGAGGTGGAGGTGACAGTGAGTGAACCAAGATTGTGCCACTGCACTCCAGCCTGGGTGACGGAGCGAGACTCTAAAGAAAAAAAAGAACCTATTTTCCCTGTCATCTGGATTGGATTGAACAGTTTTTCCCTGTCATCTGGGTTTTAATCTGATTGACAGTCCTCCAGTGTTGGGCATTGAGGGTGTTTCCACCCTTTGCTCTTATAAATAACTCCAGGTGAAGATCTTTCCCTGCAAGTCCTTTTGCGTATCTTTAATTATGTCCTTGGGATACATTCTTAGAAGGGAAATTACTGGGAATAAGCATTTCAAGACTTTTGGTACATATTTCCAACTTGGCCTCCAGAAGGATGGTACCATTATCTATCTATCTATCTATCTATCTATCTATCTATCTATCTATCTATCTATCTATCTATCTATCTATCGCTATCTATTTATCTATCTATCTATCGCTATCTATCTATCTATCTATCTGTCTGTCTGTCTGTCTGTCTATCTCTCTCTCTCTCTCTCTCTCTATGAGACGGAATCTCACTCTGTCTCCCAGGCTGGAGTGCAGTGGTGTGATCTCAGCTCAAAGCAAACTCCGCCTCCCGGATTCAAGTGATTCTCCTACCTCAGCCTCCAGCGTGGCTGGGATTACAGGCGCCTGCCACCATGCCCAGCTAATTTTTTTGGAATTTTAGTAGAGATTGGGGGTTTCACCAAGTTAGGCTGGTGTGGAACTCCTGACCTCAAATAATCCCCCCCAACACCCCCAGCCTCCCAAAGTGCTGGGATTACAGGCGTGAGTCACCATGTCCAGCCCAGTTTTCTTTTCTTTTCTTTTCTTTTCTTTTTTTTTTTTTTTTGAGACAGAGTCTCGCTCTGTTGCCCGGGCTGGAGTGCAGTGGCTGGATCTCAGCTCACTGCAAGCTCCGCCTCCCAGGTTTACGCCATTCTCCTGCCTCAGCCTCCCGAGTAGCTGGGACTACAGGTGCCCGCCACCTCGCCCGGCTAGTTTTTTGTATTTTTTAGTAGAGATGGGGTTTCACCGTGTTAGCCAGGATGGTCTCGACCTTGTGATCTGCCCGCCTCAGCCTCCCAAAGCGCTGGGATTACAGGCATGAGCCACCATGCCCAGCCCAGTTTTCATTTCTGATGAACGAGAGGCAGAGCGCATCTCCAGAGGCCCCAGGGCTTTCTCTCCAGCAGGAATGACCTGTTCCCAGGCTCAGACTCATTGTGCATTCTGGTGCTGCCTCCGCCCCTACGTTCCCAGGCTGTCTGTGGCCTCCTTAGTGGCAAATCCAACAGGGATGTCCTTTCTTTGAAGATTTTTCCAATCCAGAGCTGCTTCTTGGTTTACAAGAAATGCTGTCCCCAGAGCAATTTTATTTCTGGGAGCTCATTAAGACAAGCGACTTTGGGAGCAGTGACGTAGTTGGGCAATTCCATTTCCCATGCTAAATTCCATATTTTTCCCTTGCTTTTTAAAGATTTTTTTGACTTCCAATTCATTTTTTTTCCTATGGATTTCTGACATTCTATGACATGGATTTTTATGACAAGCTCTGGGTAAGGGAGTGTTTCTCCAGCTCAGGACACAACAAAGCCACTCAATCTTATTTTTTTAATTAGAATTGCCTTTGGAGTCCAGGTGCGGTGGCTCACACCTGTAATCCCAGCACTTTGGGCGGTCAAGGTGGGCAGATTGCCTGAGCTCAAGAGTTTGAGACCAGCCTGGCCAACATGGCAAAACTCTGTCTCTACTAAAAATACAAAAATTAGCTGGGCGTGGTGGCACACGCCTGTAATTTTAGCTACTCCGGAGGCTGAGGCAGGAGAATTGCTTGAACTCGGTAGGTAGAGGTTGTAGTGAGCCGAGATCACGCCACTGCACTCTAGCCTGGGCGACAGAGTATGACTCTTTCTCAAAAAAAAAAAAATTAATTAATTAAAAAAAAGAACCACCACCACCAAAAACCCCAAATAAAAATCACACACACACACACACACACACACACACACACACACACACACCTGCCATTGGTTTCCCAATCAGCTTAGCAGAGACCCCAGGCCTTCCCTGTGTCAACACTGCCTCCTGTCCTGGGCCCATCAGAGAAGGCTGGAGAAGGAACAGTGCTTCCAGGCCCAGTCCACCTCTCCTTTACCACCTTACGTGCTGGCATTCAGTTCTTGGTTCCCAGCCTTGTGACATGCAAATACTTGACCAGGAACCTGATCAGACAGGGTACCCTGGTAAGGGCAGAGTTTTGCCCATCCCAGCCACGACAGGCCTTGCCTGTGGACTTCACCCGCTGCCCATCGTGACCTGACAAGGAAGAAGGAAAGCCGAAAGCCGTTATTGTCCCCGTGAGTTGAGAGTTGTGGAGGCGGGAGAGTAAGGAAGACCTGGTCTCAGCGCAGTCTTTTCTGTCGCGTTTCCCCTCCCCTCCCCTCCTCTCCTTCCCCTCCCCTCCCCTCCCCTTTCTTTTCTTTTCTTTTTTCTTTTTGAGTCTTACTCTCTTGCTCAGCCTGGAGTGCAACAGCACCATCTCAGCTCACTGCAACCTCTGCCTCCTGGGTTCAAGTGATTCTCCTGCCTCAGCCTCCTGAGTAGCTGGGATTACAGATGTGCGCCACCATGCCTGGCTAATTTTTTGTAGTTTTAGTAGAGACAGGGTTTCACCATGTTGGCCAGGCTGGTCTCGAACTCCTGACCTCAAGTGATCTGCCGGCCCACCTTGGCCTCCCAAAGTGCTGGGATTACAGGCATGAGCCACCATGCCCGGCCTGTCACATTGATTTCTGATGTCTATTGTCATCTTTTCCAAGTGGTAGAATAGGCATACTGTCCTTCCAGAACAGCTGACGCTCTGAAGTTTACGAAGTTGGGTGAAATCTTTTGGATCAGACCTTTTTGATCCGAGTGCTCTGGGAACACCTTCTTCTACATAAAACCAGCCTCTGAATTTCAGTGTCTCGTTTCCCTTGGTCTGTTTCCCTATAATGGGGCAGTGGTCATGAGGGTCTGTCAGTGCTGTGATGTGAAAAGCAGCCAGTGTCCTGGTGTCCTGGGAAAGGTTACTTTCCTTAATCAGAACAAATCTTATTAATCTGAGGCAAGTGGTAGCACTGTGAGTGGCCACCTAGAAAGATGTGTGGCAGGAGATTCATGTCCACAAAGTATAACGCACCCCTCCACAACCACAACCAGCAGCAAACAGCAGGCCTGGAACCAATGAAAAGCCCATGTCGTGACCAGTGAATAAAACAATAGAACTTTGGAGGGGATAGTGCCACTCGAAGTTTACTGTTTCTACACACGCACACATGCACACATTCACACATACACATGCATGCACATGCACACACACGTACACGCACACACATGCACACACACATGCACATGCGCACACATGCACACACATGCGCACGCATGCATGCACACACACACGGCTGGCAAAGCACATGGCAAGGTGAGGGTCCTTGTCCTTGAAGATGCCACAGCCCTAAAACGGATTCTGGAAGGATTCTGCGTGTGCAGCTCAGCCCTGGGTGAAGCAGTGGGCTCTGCACCCCCACCTGGGGGCCCGGGGGCCGCGGGGCTGTTCGAGCCAGGGCCTGGGGCTCTGCCACTGGTGGTGTGACCTTGGGCTAGCCACTAGGGTCCTCAGGGCTCCCTGGCTTTCTGGGGGAGAAGTGGGGGATGAGCCGAGACACTTGTCCCATTTTCTTCCAGTTCTCATAACCACAACCACTTTGTGACATAAGAGTACGGGTGGGTTACGACTGGCTGAGGGCTCAGGGGTCCCTGGATCCCAGGGAGGGGTGAGATTTCTGGAAGTGGAGATGGCAGAGTGAATGCTGTGGACTGGACAGTGTCTTAAAAAGCATGGTCAACTAAGGTGACAAATGCTTACTGGTAAGAGGACAGCCCCAGCCTGGCTTCACTGATAATGTGCCTGGAATGGACCTGTGGGCCATCCCCGTAGGTGCTGTTTTGGTGGTAATTTTCAATGAATCCCTCTTTTCCCCAGTCCCATGTGGGAGGAGTCCATCCGAAGCTCCCAGGCCTGCCTAGCCGACTGACCCAGCCATGGCCCGGGCTCCAGGGTGGCTCAAGGGCTACCTCCTCCGGTGGTCCCTGACTCAGGTCCCAGCACAGCACCCCCACCCAGGTTGGCCCAGCTGCAGTTTGTCTGAGAGATGCCGGCAGTACCGCAGGTCGAAATCGTGTGAGAAGCTCCCACCTCCTGTCTCCTCGCCCTCACTGGGGCCTCTCAGGAAAGGCCAGCTTGTGAGCAGGGGCAAGGCCGGGCCCCATTGTGGCCCAGGGGGCAGGTAGGGGAGGAGCTGAGGGGGGAATAGAGGAGAGAAGGGGGAGGTGCATCCCGGCCCCTCTTTGCCTTCATCTGTCCTGTGTATTGGAGTATCTCAAGGAATCTTATTGGACAGATTCCTGAGAGAACTCGGGCAAGTGACTTGAACTCTGTTTTCCTCTTCTGTGAAATGGGGACAAGGACAGGCCCTCCCTCAAGGGGCTTCTCTGAGAGTTTCATAAATACAAGTTCACAGTGCAGTGCCCGGCTCACGCAAACGCTACTGCTGTTCTTGTCATACTTATTCTTTCCTTGTGGCCCCAAACCACTGGCCCTAGGGGACCCTTGGCTTCTCCACTCACAGGTGGTCACATCCTAGAAGTGGAGGAAGCTGGGGCCTCGCGCAGCAGACTGACCAGACCCTCACTGAGGGCCCAAGGCTGAGACTGGGTCATGGACAGTGGAGTCCTGGCGGTTCCCAACAAGACAGAGACGAGGATCAGCCCCTGAGGCCACCGCCCACTGTCAGCAACCCTGGGTTCCTCTCCTGACCCAGTGGAAGGCACAGCCACGCCTGCTCCTCTGGGGAAAACGGGCCCACACCACAGCCATGGTTCTGCTGGAGAAGCTGAGAAGCCACTTGGGGCTCCTTCTGGTCTCTTAGGCTGGGGATGCCTCTTGGGACTGGCTGGGTGGGGAGGTTTGGGTGTACCTTGTAGGGGTGGCGTGGGGACTGCAACACCCAGGAGGAGGCTCAGGGGCTCTATGGGGGGAGGCTGCTGTGATGAGCTGCCTGGCGTCTGATGGGCTTAGCCCAGGCTGGGCGGTGGGTGGCCTCACGTGGCTGTGGTGTGCTGAAGCTGAAACTACAAGGCCATGGCACTGGCTGCTGTGTTTGGATGGGGCTGTCATGTGGGGCAGAGGGAGAGGCCAAGTCGAAGGTGATGGGGGAGTGGACACTCTTCTCAGTCACTGGAGAAGGGACAGGTCCTGGGGGCTGCAGAGGCCCGAGAGGCGGGGTCTGAACTCAGAGGACACCCAGGAGGGACCATGGAGGGGCACCTTTGGGGAGCCAGAACCTTCTGGAAGCCCAGCTACAGGTGGGGACATGGGCAGAAGTGTGGATGGGGTGCAGGGAGGTGAGGGACAGAAGGCTAAGCCCGGTGATGCCTCAGGGACAGACAGGAAGAGCTTGCACCCGAGGCCCCAGGTATCTGTGGGGAGGGGCCCAGCCCTTCCTGGTCTGTGATCTCAGTGTATCCAGCCCTGGTGTATGCAAGTATGACTGTGTGTGCAGGTGTGACTGTGTTATTCTGTGTGACTGTGCAGGTGTGACTGTGTTACTCTGTGTGTGTGACTGTGTGTGCAGGTGTGACTGTGTTACTCTGTGTGTGTGACTGTGCAGGTTTGACTGTGTTACTCTGTGTGTGTGACTGTGCAGGTGTGACTGTGTTACTGTGTGTGCAGGTATGACTGTGTTATTCTGTGTGTGTGACTGTGTAGGTGTGACTGTTATTCTGTGTGTGACTGTGTGTGCAGGTGTGACTGTGTTATTCTGTGTGTGTGCATGGGTGTGACTGTTATTCTGTGTGTGTGACTGTGTGTGTGACTGTGACTGTGTTATTCTGTGTGTGACTGTGTGTGCAGGTGTGACTGTGTTATTCTGTGTGTGTGACTGTGTGTGCAGGTGTGACTGTTATTCTGTGTGACTGTGTGCATGGGTGTGACTGTGTTATTCTGTGTGTGTGTGTGCAGGTGTGACTGTGTTATTCTGTGTGTGTGACTGTGTGTACAGGTGTGACTGTTATTCTGTGTGACTGTGTGCATGGGTGTGACTGTGTTATTCTGTGTGTATGACTGTGTGGGTATGACTGTGTTACTCTGTGTGTGACTGTGTATGACTGTTATTCTGTGTGTGTGACTGTGTGTGCGGGTGTGACTGTGTTATTCTATGTGTGTGACTGTGTGTGTGGGTGTGACTGTGTTACTCTGTGTGTGTGTGGGTGTGACTGTTATTCTGTGTGACTGTGTGGGTGTGACTGTGTGTGACTGTGTGTGTGGGTGTGACTGTGTTATTCTGTGTGTGACTGTGTGTGTGGGTGTAACTGTTACTCTATATGACTGTATGTGTGGGTGTGACTATGTGTGTGACTGTGTGTGGGTGTGACTGTTATTCTGTGTGTGTGACTCTGTGTGTGTGTGTGACTGTGCAGGTGTGACACTGTTACTCTGTGTGTGTAACTGTGTGTGGGTGTGACTGTGTTATTCTGTGTCACCGGGGGCAGCAAGGGCCCCAGAATCCCCAGGAGCACCTCAGTGCACTCAGCACTGGCTCCAGTGTCACCCCCGAGCAAAGGCCCCTGATTCCTCCTGTCAGAGGAAAGAGAGTCCACAGGGCCTGGGTTGCCACCCTTCTCCCAGTGATGGGTACTCAGAGGTAATGACTCTTTCCAAGTTCAAGAACATCCTTTTAATCACAAACCACTCATCCACAAATGTGGCTATGGGGTAAGCAGCCTGGGCTGGGACCCTTTCCAGAGGTAAGTTGGGGTCACGTCTCTGTCCCCTTCCTAGGGTGGAAGTGGCCTCCAGCCAGGGGGGGCTTCCAGGTTAATGCCAGAGCCTCGACTACTTTGGACTCCTGTGAGCTCTTCTTGGTTGGAAGAAGGGGGGGTATTGCGGGCCTGCTGTGTCCCAAGGCTCCAGAAGCTGCCCCCACCCAGGCCTGCCTGGCCTCACCCTGAAGCCTGGGTGCACGGCAGCCTGGGCCCTGCCTACACAATGCCCTCTGTGTGCTTGCTCTGCCAGACCACCAGTGCCGTCACCAGCAGGGTCACCGTGATGGGGACCACGATGAAGGGGTAGAGGACGCTGCCAGGCGGGTCCCGCACGGCCCTGCCTGAGATGGGGCAGGCCCTGAAGTAGTGCCCGTGCACTGCCAGGAAGAACCTGTCCACCTCTGCGTTGGGCCAGAAGCAGCCTAGCTTCTCCGCCATGTGCCAGGTGCAGTCGGCCAGCTCCCTGTAGCTCCTGTGGATGGAAGAGGAGGTGGTGAGACCCTGGGCAGGCAGGGGAAACAACGCGGGACCCCAGCCGGGGCGCTGCACCGTGGCCCCTCACGCGGCCCTGGAGCTTGGCTTGGAAAAGGCCCGGCACCGAGGCAGTGGCCCTGGATCCAGGAGGGCAGGGCCCCAACGGCTCCAGGGGGACTCCCAGGCAACCTGCATGGCGGCCCGTGGTGCAGGAAGCCCTGGCGTGGCTGTGGGGCCTCTCACAGCTCTGTCTGCACCGGAAGGACGACCTAGGCTGGGTGGCCAATGAGGCCCACACCTCTGCCACTGGCTCCTCTGCCACCAGCTCCTTCTGCTACCCCGGGCAAGGTCACAGACTGGTGTCGCGTCTGTGTGTGACTGTTATTCTGTATGTGACTGTAACCATTGTTCTTTGTGTGTGACTATGTGTGACTATGTGTAACTGTTATTCTCTGTGTGCAACTGTGTGACTGTTATTCACTGTATGACAGTGTTATTCTCTGTGTGACTGTGTGTGACTGTTATTTACTGCATGAGTGTTATTCTCTGTGTGACTGTGTGTGACTGTTATTCACTGCATGAGTGTTATTCTCTGTGTGACTGTGTGTTATTCACTGTATGACTGTTATTCTCTGTGTGACTGTGTGTGTGACTGTTATTCACTTTGTGACAGTGTTATTCTGTGTGACTGTGTGTGTGAGTGTTATTCACTATATGACAGTGTTATTCTGTGTGACTGTGTGTGACTGTTATTCACTGTGTGACAGTGTTATTCTGTGTGACTGTTATTCTGTGTGTGACTATTTTCTGTGTGACTGTGTGTGTGTGACTATTCTGTGTGTGTGACTGTGTGATTGTTATTCTGTGTGTGGGTGACTGTGTTATTCTGTGTGTGTGACTGTGTGACTTATTCTCTGACTGTGTAACTATAATATTCTGTGTGTGACTCTGTGTGACATTGTCTCTGTGTGACTGTTATATTCTATATGTGACTGTGTGTGTTACTGTTATTCTCTGTGACTATGTGACTGTGTAACTGTTATTATCTGCATGTGACTGTTATTCTGTGTGTAACTGCGTTATTCTGTGTGTGACTGTTCTCTTTGTGACTGTGTGACATTGTGTGACTGTTTTCTATGACTGTGTGTGACTATTTTCTGTGTGTGACTGTGTGTTACTGTTATTCTGTGTGTGACTGTTATTCCCTGTGTGTGACTGTGTGTGAATAGCTGTGCTATTCTGTGTGACTGTTATTCTGTGTGTAACTGTGTAACTGTTATTCTCTGCATGTGACTGTAATTCTGTTACTGTGTGTGTGACTATATATATATATAACTGTGTTATCCTGTGTGTGACTGTGGGTGTGACTGTTATTCTCTGTGTGTGACTGTTATTTTGTGTGTGTGTGTGAGACATTCTATGTGTGACTGTGTAACACTGTGTTATTCTGTGTGACTATGACTGTGTTATTCTCTGTGTGTGATTGCGTGTGTTATTCTCTGTGTGTGACTGTGTAACACTGTTATTCTGTGTGACTGTTACTGTGCTATTCTCTGTGTGTGACTGTGTTATTCTCTGTGTGTGTGTGTCCCTGTGTGTGAGTGTAACTTGTTATTTTCTGTGGGTTTGTAACTGTATTATCCTCTGTGTGTGTCCCTGTGTAACTGTCATTTGTGAGTGGTGTGACTGTGTTATTCTGTGTATGAACCTGTGTGTGCAGATGTGACTGTGTTATTCTGTGTGTATGACTGTGCGGGTGTGACTGTGTTATTCTGTGTGTGTGACTGTGTGTGCAGTGTGACTGTGTTATTCTGTGTGTGTGACTGTGTGTGTGGACTTCACCACAGGGCCCCTGACCCTATCCTGCCATGGCTGCAGGTGCCTTTACCCACAGGTATGGCTGCCACCAGGCTACAGGGAAGGGAGTGGAGGTGGCTGTGCTGAGCCAGGGGCCCGGGTGGCACGGGCAGAGGGTGTGCCATTGGGGTGTTCCTTGGGCTTGGCTTGGAGAGCAGCCAACGCAGAGTCCCCTCTGCTCCAGGAATTCTAACTCTCGAAGCCGCAGCAGATGAACTCATTCCCACCCTGCCCCTTAGGTGCTCTCAGGACTCTGCTCCCCCAGGGTTCTCTGGGAGAGCAAACACCATCTGTTTCTGAACAACTTTTTCCATAGACAGGGGTTTGTAGGCCACAGCCTGCCCTTTGCAATGAAGTGGACAAAACCCAAGTGGACCCAGCCATCGGTGCTTTTCTGTGTCATCTTCCAACCCAGGACGTGGGTGCCAAGTGCCTCTTCCAGCAGAGGAAACTGAGGCTCTGAGACAGCACTGGACATGGGCAGAACCCAGACCATGCCGGCTCCTTCTGCCTCCAGCCCTGCATTTCCCCCAACCCCGTGACCTCCTGCTTCACAGAACAGCCCTGAGACTCAGGAAGAAAGGCCCCTCTGGTGTTGCATGGGGCTCAGAGCCTGTTCTCAGGGACTGACTGCCTGAGGGGTCTTGGTGGCATTCACTGTTGTCACCATTCCATGATAACTGCTGTTATCATGCAGATCCACTGGGTGCCCCTGCATGATAGGCACAGGCTCAGCAGGGCCTGTGTGTGATCTCGCTCACGCTTGGGGACCGCTGTTACCCATCGTTTTATAGACAGGGAAACAGAGGTTTGGGAAGGCTGGAGGGCTTCCGGGTGAGAGGGCCAGGGTGTGACTGCACAGGTCTCACACCTCACCACTGTCCCTCGCCCTTGGTGGCCAAATCTGGCCACAGCTTGGACACTTCCTTGTCTGGGTCCAAGTCGCACTCACTGGGGGTTGAGGCCACAGTGGGCATCCATAAGCC